GAACTGACCGGTGAACGACGTCGGGACGTAATACGAAGATGAAACACGCGAAGCGTGCCGAGACCTTTTTGCTCTAAACGAAGGGCCGCAGCGCGGTGGGAAGTCCGGCAATACTTTTTGGATTGAATTTGTCTTTTTCTCTCCTTTCACGCCGAACTCCCGCGCGCATTTTACGATGCGCGAAAAACGGTCGACTTACCTCATCGGACCAACACGGGGGATTTCAGTTTCGTCGGTGTCCCCACACTCAATTTTTAAAAATCCTTGGCACACCCCATCTTGCTGTTTTTACGGGCCCCTTTTCTGCACCTCTAACACTCCGAACGAAAGACAGCACAAGGCGTGAGGTTGGTATCGGAGCCGACTCGTGTCGGTTCTGATGATAGTGAGTCGAACTGGCGAGAGGTAGGAGAAATCCTCAACTAGCTCGTCGAGATCGCCCAGTGACCAGGTCTCAATCTGGTGCGGTTGCACCCGCAATGCCAATGGCAGACGGTACTCGGGTGATCGTTAGCATTCCTGCCCCTTTCCCCTTCTTCCCTAACCATACCCATCCCGAGGCTTGGCTGGAAGCCGTTGAAGTTCAAGGTTACAACGCGGGTGATCTTCCTCGCATTCTTACCTTGCTACTCCGTAATACGTCGCATGACTGGTTTAGAAAGCATACATGGGTAGATTGGAATACTTTCAAACAAGCATTCTTGGCTCGATTCGATACGGTCAGTGAAGATGCCGCCTGGTACGTGCTGAAAACTCGGCCACAAGGACCAGGGGAATTGCTGCCCGATTTCGTGGATAGATTTCAAACCACGTTGGACAAATCTGGGTGAGACGAGAAGTCCGCCCGAGATTTGTTCATCTCGCCCAGATTTGTCCATCGATCATCTACGAAGTCCGACGTTGAAAGGGAAGTTACAAAAAAGGTCCCGCCGAAGACAGACCAGCTATCTGCTATCATCGCTAAAGCGTTGGAACTGGACCAAGCTGATACAAAAAAAATATATCAGTCAGGGAGACGGAGATATTACAGATACCATACAAGATGTAGCGGCTAAAAGGCGATCATGGTTGCGGGCGGTAGAACGGTTTTATCCCCGCCCCGACCATGACCTTCCCGACGGGATCGTTTTCGATATCCCGCCTGTTTTTTCTTCCTCTCCCCCAACGAATCAACCGATAGCGGCAGTTAAGGGCAGAATCTCCCACGAACCTCCCTCGCCGGCCGTAACAAACCTACATCTTGCCCAAATGATCCATACGGCCACTACTAAGCAATCCGAATGGATGAGCAACCTGGTTCAAATGCATGCAGCTCACATAGAGCGGATGAAACAAATAATGAGCAGGCTAATTAAGCCCAACCCGGCCCCCGCTCGACCTGCCCCCACGTCATTTCCTCTCTTGCCTGCCCCGCCTGCACCCGGCTATCCACCACAGTTCCCTCACCCAGCTAATCCAGCAGGAAAGATCGAGTGTTTTAACTGCAAACAACCTGGACATTTTGCCCGGGACTGTCCCCAGCCAAAACGTAATCAACCCCCGCCAGTTCCGGCCCCTGTTGCTCTAAACCAAGGACGAATGGCCGCATTGATGGACACAGCCTAAGGAGGAGAACTCGTTGCATATGAGCAACCTTCCCCCTCAACGGCAATAGCATCAACATCGGGATCTTCCTCCTCTGACGCTGATGACGTGGTCGATCCACTCGAGTATCTTCATCTAGCGGGCATGATCGGAGCGATCCGATCGGCCCCTGATGATCTTGAAAGGGTCGATCGCGATTCTAATCCCGGTCCACAGTTTAGGACGGGCGAAATCGATGTGTTACGAGCGCTCAAGCAGCTAGATATCCGTGTTTCGATTCCGGTGGGACACTCGCTCACCATATTTGAAGCTGCAAACGACAAACTGTTATAACAATGTCAGAAGAATCAAAAGCGCTTCACGTACCAGCGCGTACAGCGAATGTAAAAAAAAGAAGGAGGAGGAAAACGAGGATGTTGCGCCACCAGAACCTAAAACGGGTGAACCCGAAGCAGCACGAGTAGTTGCGATCTCGTTAGTAGAGAAGGATCATTTCGTACGGGCTCGACCAGTATTGTGAAAAAGTGCTGAGTGCGATTGTGAGATTTGTGGCAAACCATTTAACGCCCTTATCGATACTGGGTCTTCCGCAGTCGCCATATCTTTACATACCGTAAGAAAGACGGGACGACTCAACTCCATTCTTCCTCAATCTGGCAAAGACAATTATGTCTCTGCCGACGAGGAAGCAATGAACATCGTGGGTGTTATTGAGAATGTGGCTGTGAAGGTCAGACGAATACACGTCCTCGTTAACGCACTAGTGATAGATGCGCGCTCCTATTCTGTGTTGTTAGGATTACCTTGGGTGATGGCAGTAGGTGCTCGTCTGCATTTCGACTCCAAACAACTGGTGCTCACGCAAACTGGGGGAAAACCTCAGACTGTCTCTTTGCGGATTTCCACCCGGACGGTAAAGCGAACTCTTAATTTTGTCCAAATAGGGATGATCCGAGGCCTCGATCCCGAGGAATCTTCTTCCTCGGACGTCGGTAGCGGAGCCGGGGAACAGGTGTACGCATAAGAAATGCCTAGTGAGGATGAATGGAAGCACCTGGTGAAACTTTCCGAACACGAAATCCCCGAAGAATTTCGAGCGCGCCCCAGAACTGCCCGCGGCTTCCACGTGGATTCGGAAGACAGCGCACTCGCGCCCCTGGAAACCCAGATCAGTCCTTTATCCCTCCTCGGGGAACCCATCCTGCAAGTATCTGACCTGGCAGATGAATTGGAACCCCCTCGCCCTTGTACGGGGTAGCACTTTCCCTACGATCACGCTACCAACAAACAGAACAATATTTGGATGTTTCCGTTTTCCCACCAAGATCGTTACTAACAATGGGAGCGACCATCACTTTGATTAAACAGGAAGCAGAAGCGTAGGTAGATGACGTGCCTGATCTGATGCAGGAGATGACGGATCTAACAGGACTGACTATGGAACAGACCTCGGCCGGTTCAGAAACTGATGCCGAAACTAAAGAAACCGAAATGATCAGCCCTGCTGAATCTCAGATGACAACGACTGTCTTCTCTGTTCGCACCAGTAGTTCCGTTTTTTTCAGTGTCCATAATCGACGGGAAAGACCGGCTGATTGGGTCGACGTCTCCCTACAGATTCCTGGACGACCAACAATCACCTTTCCAAACCACGTCCCCACAGAACTCCAAAAATCGTTAATTAGTGTTTTGAATGGCTATTGAGTGTGCGCGATAATGATATCGGCCTCACTAACGTGATTGAACATGCCATTCTTACTAGGGATCATCCACCCATTAGTTGCGTGCCTTATAGGTACTCACCAGCTCAAAGAGCGGCCGCTTTTCAGCGAATCAAAGAGTTTGAAGCTAATGGATGGATCGAACCCGCCATAGGACCATGGTCTTTTYCCGTAGTGATWGTGCCTAAAAAGGCCGGAGGGATCCGCATTTGCATCGATTATCGAAAATTGAATGATATCACGATTAAGGATGTGTATCCCCTCCCCCGGATTGATGAATTGTTGAATGAGATTGAGAAAGCTCGATTTTTCAGTAAGTTTGATGTTCGCTATGGGTTCCATCATCTTCTGGTCCGAGAAGAAGATCGCCCGAAGACTGCGTTCGTACTCTTCGAAGGTACGTGGCAGTGGATTCGATGCCCAATGGGCATCTGCAATGCCCCCGCAACTTTCCAGCGAGCCATGAACATGGTCTTTCTGAACTTTGTGCGGAAGACTCGTCTGGCACAGAGTATCATTAACTACTGTGTGATTGTGTATATGAATGACATTTTGGTGTACTCGAGTTCTTATGAGGGGCACGTGCAACACATCGAATGGGCGTTGCATGCGTTACGAGATGCCGGCTTCAAGGTGGCGCTCGAGAAGCGCCTGTTCTTCCTTACCACCATTTCCTTCCTGGGACACGTGGTAACGAACCAAGGACTCAGACCGGAGCCGCAGAAGGTGGCAGCTGTCAGAGAAGCGCCAGTGCCCACGACTATTACGCAAGTTCGCGCCTTCTTGGGCGTGGCCTCGTACTACCGAAGATTTATCAAGGGCTTTGCAACGATTGCGGGACCCCTCACGAACCTGCTGCGAAAGGATCAACCGTTGATCTGGACACCAGAATGTGATCAAGCGTTTTCAACACTCAAGGCCGCTCTCATTTCGGCTCCGGTCCTTATAAGGCCGGATCCCGAAAAACCTTTTGTTCTCATTACTGACTGGCAGCCGGAGGCAATTTCGGTGATCCTGGCCCAGGTGGGACCAAGTGGACTCGAGTGCGTGGTGGAGTACGCGTCTAAATCGGTGCCCGCCTGCAAACGCAACTACGTCGCTCCGACGGGAGAATGCTATGCGGCTCTCTGGGGAATCAGCCACTTTCGAGCTTACATGTACGGGCGGAAGTTCACAGTGGTAATCGATCATGAGCCTCTGCTAGCCCAAAAGAAATCCAAGGATTACTCCGGCATGATCGGGCGATGGGCAACGGTGCTGCAGAGCATGGACTTTGACATTCGTCACCGGAAACACGAAAGGAACGGGAATGCGGACGGATTGACACGACTGCACCGACCTGAGAAGGTTCCGAAGAATGAGGAGGTGATTCCGTGGAACGAACCGAAAAAGGAGAATGGGCCTCGATACGGCCAAGTGGAAATCCTGTCAAAGGAGTAAGCAACACAGGGTCCATTTTTTTTTGCCCTCTCTGCAATTTAGTCACATCCCTCCCTCTTTGCCATCATGACTACCCCCTCTTCTCCTACTAATTCTGCCCCTCTCACCTCCTCCGCTTTCTTTGCCACCCTCCCTGATAAATTCTGCTATTTTTGTACGTGTATTGCATGGGTTTATGGGGTTGACTGTCATCCCTTCGAAACCGGGTTTGTCGATTGGGTAGAATGTGCCACGTGTGTCAATCGTGCTCACGGGGCCTGTGTTCGCTATCGAACAAGTAGCAAGGAGTGGAGGTGCCCCCTGTGTAGAATGGCCAAACTTCCCACAGAGGTTCGATTCGAGGCCGCCCGAATGGACAAACATGAATATGACGAGAAATACTGTCGAGCGGAGGTTTGGACGGATAAAATTTTATTAGCTAAATTAGCGGGATTATCATTGGGTCACCTCACCAAACACGACGGACGTAAGGCTACCGAGAGATCTCGGGACTATCGATGGATCAACGGTCATTTGGAGAAGCGTAAAACTGACAGATCGGGTTCGTGGTTGATGGTTCCTCATCCATTCCAGAGATACGATTGGACCCGATCTGCTCACGAAGAGCAGGCCGCTTGTTTCGCGATACGTGTCACGGAGGCAACTATAGACCAGAAGTGATGGTTCTGGTCCAATATATGAGATGATGTCGGATACGTTGTCGCCAACTGTCTGGTCTGTGCCGCTGATCGCGCCCCAATACGGGGACCGAACACGATAGTACCAACGGAAGTAGAACGCCCCTTCCAACGAGTCAGTATGGACATGACAGATATTGACGTGCCACCTGGCCCAAACCGCTGTGAATATTTTATCCTTTTAGTATTAATAGATCATTTTTCCAAGTACATCGAGGTCTACCCCTGCAAGACCCGCAAGGCTGCAGAAATAGCCTTGTACATCTATCGGTTCCTCTACACCCATCTAGATACATAAGAAATCCTGACCGACAATGGGTCCGAATTCAAGGGCGAAGTAGAGGAACTGCTTGCACGAAGGGGCATCACGCTCCGACATACGGCACCCCACGTGTCCCAGTCGAACGGGTTGGCCGAAAATGCCAACTGTATGATTAAAATCGCCCTCCGTAGGAATTTAGCAGCACATGACACGCGTCCGTGGTCCGAAATCGTGTATCAGATCGTCGGAATTCACCGGGCCACCCCTCACGAGTCCACGGGGTTCACCCCCTTTCAGCTTCGCACTAATAGCCTTCCCTGTGTCAACTACCGGGGTAACTCGGAAATTGCCGAAGCAGGGGGTAGAGACACGCGTGCCGCCCTCAAGGCCAAGGCCAAAAGGTACAACGATTTGATGGAACGGGCCATCCTGAAGCTAGCCCGAAAAAGACAGAGGATGACCGATCTGGCCCACGGTAGGCAGGTCCGTAGCTACGAGCCTCGAAATGGAAATGCTGGGCCCCAACATCAATATAAATTAGGGGACCTAGTGCAGGTACGTAAATGTGCACGCGACCGAAAACTCGCTCCCAAGTTTTCTGGGTGTTTTCTCGTTGTCGAGCTCAGACCCAACGGCGCCAACACGGTGCGCATCACGCCCGAGGCTAGAGCCAGCCATAGCTCTGTCCCCATCGTCCGACATACCTCCTACCTCCGGCCTCTCCCTCCCTCTGATCTTCCCCCTTCTTCCTCCTCCGAGGGCGAGGAGAACGACGTCGATCTAACTCTCTCTCCACTCTCTCCCTCCTGGCCCTCGTCTTCCTCCCCTACCTCGCCATGAGCTTCATCACGGAGCGGGCTCTTGATGAATAGCTGTTGCAGCCACGTGGCCACATCTCGGAAATTTGGCAAGTTCGCCATCCACGGCTTAACACGGATCTTCGGCGTCTGGCGCAGTTCTTCTGCGACGTAGGTGTGTGTGTTGCCGCCGCGTTTCGATCCGAGGGGAGTCCGCAGGCGATAGTGGTGGCAGAAGTGGTGGCGGTGCATCGGCGAGTGGCTCCAGGAACGAGCCACGTCACGACCGTCGCGACCTTCAGCGGTGACATCAGTACAGTCAACCCGCAACGACATACCACTATTCGGACTTCATTGCGAGAGTGGACGGAGCAGTTGTCCAACGTGTGGCAGCACGGTCTTGCCCGACCAGGGCATAATCTCATTCCAACCTTCGCACCTGATCTTGACGGAATCTGCGTCTCTCCGCGCGAGCCTGCAGTAACACTCCCCACCCTTGTTACTTTTCCACGACCCTGATGAACCGCGCCGTACCCCTTGCTCCTCGCTCCATCTTCGGTCGCCCCTCGCTTTTCCCTACCTTCTGGCAGTCCGATCTTCATCCCCATTTTTCCCTCTCTATCGAGCCCCTTTCCGTCCCGTTGATCAACCCTGGCATTGGCAGCTGTGGCGCGAAACTTTTGTTGAGTTGTCCATGTGCTTGATCCGGGTGCAGGTGACGGGGATACAGACCGACGAGCATCTTGCGTGTCTCGAGAACGTGGAGCTGCTGATCATACAAGCGTGGAAGACCAACGTGGAGGGCGATCTTCTGGGCTTTCTTTTTGGATCGGTACGACCGGGCCMCCGCCAGTTGATTGCGCAGGAGCTCATCCCGCCGATCGTACAATTGGCGGACGATCTCTCGTTAGACATCGTTTCGTAAAGTGACGACAGTCCCGCCCCTCACGTCCTTGCGCGGTCATTGGATCCGTACCTTCAGTGGAGCGCATGCTTGGAGGAGCCTGGGGACAAAGATACGCTACCGTCGCGGCAAGAATATCTAAAGTCGTACGGCCTCATCAATCATGCTTTTTATCCAAAGGTGGAGGACGTGGTGATAGACGACGACGAAGAAGACAACGACGAGGAAACGTCGGAAGAGGGAAGCTATAGCGAGTATAGCGAGGGCGAGCCGAGCGAAGAAGAAGAGGAGGAAGAAACAGTATCTGAGTGGGAGGCCTTGCCGGAGGAAACAACGCGTACTGGCACGGAAGCGGACGATCCTGAGGTGGAGCGAAGGCGGGAAGAGATTGCCGCCATGAAACACCAGTTGGAGTTGGCCAGCAGAGCCAGCTTGAACATCGGTGACGATCTGACCAGGGATCCGAAGCCCCCGAAGCCTGAAGATGGCGACCCAGCAGCCGCCACCTCAAGCACCTTGCGGCGGAGACGGAGCCAGTCCCCCTCCCCCTCCACCCCAACCCGTCCCCCAGTTCGTCCACACACCGATGCGGGCGATAGGCCTTCGCCCTCGGACGTTATCCCGCCGCCCCCTTGATCTCCTCACCCTTGAACAGATCCACACCCCCGTCACCTTCCCCTGTCACTTTCCCCTGTCACCCCTTCCTTCCCCATCTCTTCGAAGATTTCTATTCTACCCGTCTAATCGCCACCGTCTATCCCCACCGATCCCTTCAGCCCGCTGTCCCCACGTTCTGTCTGCATATCCTGTTGTTTAGCGCTGCGTGGGAACGGTGCAACGTAGTAGAAGTCTACTGCGTAGCCACGGGGACGATTCCTGCTTGTCGCCACTACAATATCTTTCGCGCGACGCTCTTCCGCACCCTCTCCTCCCTCTACCGCGACTACCTCGCCTCTCTCCCTCACAGCGGCGATCGCTTCCCCCGCTTTCACCGAATCATCCGCTATGAGGAACTTCCGATAGATGGGATACATCGCTACCTACCCCCACTTCCTTCCCATCGCCCCCGTGAACTCCCCTCCATGTACCGCGTCTGCTTCCCCATCCCCTCGAGACGCTAACCCCAACCCCACTCTCTCCCTCCAACCCTTCGACAAGAGAAGATGACACGAATCAGAAGTTTTGCGAAGATCACGTCAAGGACGATGACATCCACCTCCGCTCTGATTTGACGAGCCGCGACGAGCTGGGGTGTAGAGCACACGGAGACCAGGTGGACACATGATGGCGTCACCTGGACGATCTCTACAGTGCGAAGAACAGGGGGTTGCATATGACAGGGCTGCGGAGATCTTGCCACGGATGTTGTCGCCATCTCATCCGGGACTCAGTTATCGTTTCTTGTGCTTCTTCCTGATGCTCCGTCTTCTTCTACCCCTTGTTCGAACTTCCATACAGTCAAGAAGTTGCAATTGAAGTTGGCGTCAACATGAACTCTGGCTCTATCATCTGCTGATACACTTGGTTCCTCATGCATCACTCTTCCCCCTCTTTCCTTCTCTGTCGTGACATGCAATCAGGAGATCGCATGATTTTGGAACCCCCTGCGCGACACATATGTGACGAACTACATCCCGAACCTGTGCTATCTTTCGTACCCCTTTGGCTCGAATTTTTCTTGTACCATACCGACCCTACAAGTACCCTGTTTGTTTTCTTGATTTTGGGCGCCGTGTTTTTGGCCCCCGTTTTGTCGAAAGCTTGGTTGATTCTTAGAATTTTGTTTTTTGCAATTCAGGAAATACACGGGAATTTACACGCGCCTTAGCGAGCACACTGGGAATTGGGTCCGGCAGTTGAGAATTCCGGGATAAGCGAAACTTCGATGTGTCCTTTTTTTGTGTGTGTGAATGTTCTCGATCACGTTGGGGAAAACTCTCGGAATTTTATGAGAATACGAATAGGCGTAGAATTTTCTTTTCCCGCGTCGTCCTCTTCGCGAGCGGATATGGTGATTTCAATTTTGAATTGGTTTAGGACATAGGCAAGTTGTAACTGTTTCGGTGCCTTTTTCTTTTTCTTTTTGTTGACGGCGCCATGCATGCGAAGCCTTCTTCCCCTCTCCTTCTCCCCCCCGCCCCCGCTCTGTCTCCCGCATCGTTCTCTCCCACGCTATTCCTTCCTTCCCCCTTCTCATCCCTCCCTTCTCGCAACTGTTTTCCCTCCCTCTCTCCTGTTCTGATCGGTTGCGCGCCCATTTTCCCTTTCTTGATCGTCCGAATCTTGGACCCGTCTTGCGCTACTTCTCGCGCCTTTTCCTTCCGAGTCTCACCCTCTGAATTCAGCGCACGACGCCTGGTCGATCCTTCGATA